TGTTAATAGTAGCCAGTGAGGCTGACGCAGTGTGATACTTTGGCTTCTTCTCTCAGTAGACTGAGAACCGTTCAGAAGGCCACAAGACAAAATGCGTCGCCTTAGGAGACTGCCACCCCCTCTGCTGGAGGAAAGGGTAGCAGCACCCAAAACTGACAACCTTAACATGAGAATTTAGGGAACACACAAAGGGAATAATAAATAACAAATCAACATCATAATAAATCAATATAAATGTGGACACACATTTAGTGGGTGTCGCATTTGCTGTCATTCAAGAAGGGAATGAAACCCAGAAGGGAGTATTATAGATGGATGACATATGCATCCCTGAAAGTATGCTGATGGCAGCATACTTTCAGGTATGCTGCCATCAGCATATGGTGCCATCAGCATACTTTCAGGGATGCAACACCCAAGGGCTGGAGAAGGAACAGGTCAAAGAACATTACTGCATAATCTCCATGAGGATGTGCAGTATGATGTCACCATGCACTGCCACAAGGGAGACCTCACCATGCAGGAAAACTGGCGATATGGCCACCTGGCTTGGGAAAAGCTCAAGTGCTTGGTCAGGACTTGAGGATGGCATTGGGGAAAATGCCAATTTCCACAGATCCTTAGAACCAAGAAACAGCATTCGGCTATGATGTCACTGAACCCTTTAACAGGAGAGAGCACAGAGCTCCTTTTGCCATCCACTACTGCATGAGCAGAAATACGGAGGTCTTTCAGTTTCAGTGCTGAACTTTTCCCTAAGTGTAGGACTAGCTTGCCGGTCAAGAGCAGACAGTTCTTTTGTTCACTTTTGTTTTTGTGTTACTAAACACGTTTTTGGATCCCAAAGGAAACCATCACGACTCTCACTGTTCATTTACCAAGAGGAGGACAAAACCCCTCTAAGTACGTGTGGTATCTTTCTGCTGCCGCCAAAGAATCAGCTGTGCCATGAGTCCATTACAAGTACGGTACGACAGCCTCGTCAGTATTCAAGCCAAGAGTCTCTGCTGGATTACCAAACGGACTTACACATGAAATCGCTATCAAGAAGAGATTCCTCGTAAGAGGCTTTTCTATGTCTTTGTTTGACACACCGGGGCTAGGGGGGGCTATAGCCCCGGCATAAATCTTCATAATTGTACTGGACTTCTGTTGAATGTGGTGTGAACTGTAGCTAAAATTGCCTTACAAAGTGATGCTGACACCAAGATATCGTCCATATATTAATGTGTTCTTAGCATCCCCAAATATTGGTCTAGCCCGACCAATTGGAGAGACCTCTTGGATGAGGAGACGTGTTAGATACTTTTTCAGCTAACGTTATTTACTGGTCCCCTCTGTTAGCTGCTCTAAGTGATGCCAAAGAATATTTAGAAGTGATGAACTAGGGAGAAATGGTATGACCATCAGCTAGAACTGCCATACTGTTTCAGAAATAAATCTACAATCAGCTGTCTGTCTCCACCACCACTCACCTACAGTAATATTAAACACACTGCTGTGACATGGGAGGAAGCTGGGAGAGGGCAATGAAAAATTTGAGTTGTTGGTTGGTTTGTTTTCACATCACAAGCGTATCGCACCAGAATCCACTTGGAAGCAGGACCACCGAACAAAAAGTGTGAAAGCAATACTCATGAAAAATCTCGGAGTGGCAGGGGCCCTATTAAGGGGTTTTAAGGGGGTGGAATCAACGACAATACAAATAGGACACAGTGTCCACACTGGTGCTGTTTGCTGCATGAGACAAGAATGTCTTGCAGAGAGATGGGGAGCAACACGTAGGAAAGGGTTGCATGCAGGAATCCGGGCCACTGCAGGAAGAACTCAGCCTTGTACATGGGGCGGACGTTCTACCAAGTGAGCCAACCATGCCCCCATTCCAACTATTTTCAACACTTTGTATTGTACTATGTATTAGTGTTGCATTTCAGTCACTGCGGGTTTATGTGTGTTAATGTCCCAGCCCAATTGTATTTTGCAGTAACATACACTTACCACGAGATGGCAATAGCTACATTTTAAGTACCATATGGGAACCTTGTAAGTTACAGAATGTTCTACAACATGGTGCTGGAAATGTTTCAAAATAAAAGCCTTGGTAGGAAATAAAGGGCTTTTAAAGTAAAGTGTTCTCAAAGAAGCTTGTATATATTATATTTATAGCGTGTAAGTCTGATAAAATTATAGCTGATCAACAGATACAGTGTGTAGACTGACTGCCAAAGCATAAATGAGGCACCATGTCCCCAGATAAAGGCCCAAACTCACACTGAAGTCACACTGTGGCCATGCTGGGCCTTATCACAGTCATGCAAATGAGTACTAATTAGCGCTAATTACGGCTGCCTGTCTTCAGTGTTATATAGCGATGTACAACTACTTTTTCTCTCTCAATTTCCTCAACAAGGATGGTTAAAGATACACGTATTGGGCACTGTAAATGGGGGTACAGGAATGTATCCTATAGATAAGTGCTTAGTTTTTCTATGCTCCTGATTGTGGCCTATCTACACTAATGCAGATGCATTTGAAAAAAATGCCTTTCTCTCCGTTATGGCTTCTATCCACACTAAGGTAGACATTTCTTTTGATGCAAGAAAGTGTTGTGGTAAACACTTACAAATCGATCTACTGTACATCCAAAACCTCAAATATGGTCATGAACTCTATGTAGTAACCAGAGGAGACATCATAGATACACATGGCCACAATGAGTTTCCCTCGCAGGGTGTTTGGGCTCACTCTTAGAGACAGGGTGAGGGGCACTGACATCCAGAGAGAGATCAGAGGAGAACAACATCCACCTGGAAGGAAACAGTTAGGAAAGTTAAGATCTTTTATACCAGTGGTTCTTAACCTGGGGGTCGGGACCCCCCTGGGGGTCGCGAGAATCCTACTATAGACACAAAAATAGAAGAAACAAAACATTAGAAATAACTAGACGGACTATAGTTGTGAATGGAGTCACTTTGTTTGAACACTGTAAATATTTTTGGACTGTTTAATCCAGTAGGTGGCGGTCCAGGAGCCTCGTCTTAATGATGGTTGGTTTAAGGCTTATTTTAGGATGAGTCGGGGACAGTTTGTTGCAACCTCTGGACAATCCAAGCAACTGTAAACTTCCGTCAACACAACTGAGGACCCGTCTCTCCATTCATTAGATTGGACAATGGAAAAAAAACGTGTCCACATGCAGCAAATGGCACGTCACCAAAATATCAAACAGTTGAGTTAAAAAAAACACTAAAAGGAAAATGCCACTTCAGAATATAGCTCATTATGATAGATGAACACAGAAGCCTATAGTTCCTTAGGATTCTCAGTGCTGAGTGTATTGAATGAATCTGTTGGTTGTTTAATGTTTTCTTATTTTTCTCTGATTATTCTTAGAAAATTAAAACTGTTGAGTTTGTTAAGTGATGTGGCACACCTTAATTTCCCATTTGGTTTGCATAAATTTAAAGAGACCTTATTCGGAGTTCAGCTTCAAAGTTCCCTTGCAGTGAGACAGCAGAAAAAGAGAGAAACACTGTCATTTTGCTTGCATTTAGTGTTTTGGTAAACTATGGCTACTCTTGTATTTTTTATGGTATTCTAAAGAAAATGATGAAATACAAAGCCCTAATGGCCTGGTTACAGGGCATCCCTGTGCCTTGGCTGAGATCCATTTAACAAGACCACTCACTGCTGCAGGGTTTACTCCCAGCCCATCAATACATTTATCATCCTGTACATAGGTATAATTATAATATTAAGAGAGGAGAGCCACTGAAACAAAGCTGTACACAGAGAGGTAGTGCAGGTCATTTAAAGAATTACTTAGATAGACACCTGAGAAGTATCTTTGTGGTTATTATACCGTAAAACTTTGATTAATAGCCCGGGCTTTTATTTGCTAAAATCACTGAATTGACCCTGCCTATATTTGGGACAGGCGTCCATATCGCACATCGCACAAAACTGAAAAAGGCTACTATGAAACAGTTTATTTATTTCAGTAACAGAGTATTACTTACTGTACTTACTCATTTGATCTAGCTTGGCAGATGACTTATCTGTTTTGAAGGCAGCAATGAAAAACAACAACCCAGTGAAGGCTGAGAAAAGTATGGCAGAAGTTAGCAGACTTCACATGACAGGATTCACAACTTCGAAAAATTTTTATGAAAAGCAGTTTTGATTCTTTTAATTGGTGGATACAGAGTATAGGAATATAAATAATTATATTCGCTTAAAAGGTAACTGAGGATGGCATGTAAAATGCAGATTACAGGGGTAAATCTATATGAATTAGACTTTGGGGCTCGTTGTTTTCGTAAAATGAACTGAATGATTGAATTGTGGAGAATCAAACTGATCTAATAATGTGTAGCATGTCCATACTGACATATTGATAATATGTTTAAACATTAATATTTGAATTCAAAGATCCAAGCAACTCAGCTAAAGCAGGCGACCCTGCGGTGTTTATACATCCAAATTAATTTATCGTCACAAAACTTAGTGGCTGGATTGCGGGGACTTTGTAGTAATATGGTATGCATACCATTTGGCTCATATGGAGCTAAAAGAGTCTCAATAAAGATAAATGCACGCACTACATTCACATATGCACACACAGGATTCATAAATACACACACAGGATACACAAATGCACACAAAATTCACAAATGCACACACAAAATTAAAAAAGCACAGAAGATTGACAAATGCACACAAAATTCAGAAATGCACACATAATTTACAAATGCACACAAGATTCAGAAATGCACAAGACAAGATTCAGAAATGTATTTCTGGTGCACACACAAACATATCTTGATTTACAAATCTGGTCTGTGAATTTCACTGCATTTGTATGTGAATTTTGAGACTCCCCTGACTTGGCTCGACACACAAATGCCTTTCTTTAAACAGGGAATGATTTGCAACCAATCAGATATCTCCCTTGTTTCAGCCAATCACAAGAATACACCCCACGTGGGGGATGATTTACTCATAAGCCAATCATACAGCGCTATTTCCATGTGGTGCGGGCTAGCGGTGGAGTGAACTCAACATGGCTTCTGGCAACGACAGGGGAGCGGTAAGTGAACTTAACATATTTAGCTAGTTGTGTCCTTGTTATGATATTTTGTATAATTATTAATGTTAATCAGTTTAATTGTGTTAAGCTATGCTAGTGTGTCTGCATGCTAATAGGGTCAGGCTAGTATCTTTCCATAAAGTTGAAGTTCTTGTGAATAAAGTGACTGTTTAACAGGGTCTGTCGCCCCAAAGCGAGGTAGCAGCTCAGGCTTTTGTGCAATTATTGGCTCGGGAGCTGTCCTTGGCCCCAAGCCAATAGAGAGTAACCTTGCAGTAGTCAGGGCTGGAGGCAGTGCTCCTCTGCCGGTTAGCGATGCTAGGGTGAGACAGGCCATGAGAAGGTGAGACATTCATTTGCTAGTAAAGTATAAAGAGATGGCGTAACGTTAGTCCCTCATCTAACTATTCTTATTGTCATCTGTCTGGTACAGTTGGGAATCTGAACTCCAAACTCCAAAATTAAATTTATTCTGGGGGAAAAAAATTTGGTTCTGCTTATCGTTTCTACACACCACATAAACCTTTATTATTAAACAAAAATGCTTCATATCTTTAAGGACTTATCTACATGCCAGGACATGGCCGCCTCAGGCATTAATGCAGCTAGCACATGGGTTTGTTTACATGCCACAGTGCTGTGGAGACTGAAAGGGGATACCAGCATGTACAGCTAATGTCACATGGATGTGTAAATGGCCAAATGTGTGGCTTCACTTTGTTTAAGATAACTATGAGGTGAAGTGCAATGTAATGTGCTGACTAAACAAGGTCACTAAACAACAAGTGTAGTGTGTTGGATGCCTGCAGCTGTGTGTCATGTTGTGTTCTGTATAACGCTTCTTCTGTGGTTATAATGTCTCTACAGCGCAGTTGTTCACGTTGAATGGAAGCCCTTTCTGCTTACACCAGTGTGTGTGTGTGTGTGTGTGTGTGTGTGGGTCTGTGTGCGTTGCATGTATGTAAATTGACTTGACAGACACGTCCTTATGGTAACGATATATTGATAAGCTGCATGTGAAAAATACACGGTCAAACTATAGGAATGAGTTTGCTTGGCAGTGTTGTGTAACTTTGACTAGCAGCCAGCAGCTAGCTTTCTCAGACAGCAAAGCTGCAGTCAGTGGCTCGTTGTGCAGTGCAGTGAGATCTAGACATGCTTACTGTACAATATGGCAACAAATTAACATTACTTAATTTATCAAAAGTGGCAATACTACAGCAACTGTTGAGCCCCAACAAATTTAGATCACTCTGCAACATTTAACATTCAGTCTGACATGAAATATGTTTATATTTGATCCCTTGTAGACCCTGTCCAGAGCATTACCTAGCCACAACACAACTTTGACAACAACGAGGATGAGGATGATACTGTTCCATTGGAGAAAATCAGTCTCGTCACTGGATTTTTGAGAAATCATAGAAGGTAATAAATGGTCTTTATTTCGTCATTTTTCATTCTCATCTTAATTCACACATAATTGTCATAACAATCCCAGTTGCTACAATAATAAAGTGGTTCTTCATATTTACCACATTTATGTGCATTTGTGTTTCATTTCATCTCAGTGTGAGCTGGTTTACTGTTTTATTGTCAAAACGTCATATTTCTCTCCCTCCTCCTTTCTGTCCTCTGCTGTGTGCTTTACAACAGCAAAGGGAAAGGAGAAGAGATAAAGAAATGTTTGACAGAAACAGTAAAGCCCAGCTCACACTGAAAGAAAAAAAACACAAATGCACATACAATTGGTAAATGAAACTTCATACTTTGTTTACATTCCACAGTATTTACAGCAGCATTTAAAGTAATCCTTTTGACCTTCTAAACTAGGAGAGGAAAAGAGACTACAGGGATTTTTACTTTTGTTACAAGAGACTTTAAGTTTAAGTTCAGTACTGTGATTTTTGTTTTGAAGTGTAGCACATTGTCTTATATTTGTCATCTGTTTTAAAGCCCTGTCTAAACAGCAAGCATTGCTAATGTGTTATCTTTACTTGAGTATCTAAGAGTGCCATAACTGGATTTTTAAAAAAGATAAGAATCTTATGAGAGAATCATTACATCCTATTTTTTGAAAGATCTACTCCAATGTAAAGTTTTGAGGGGTCACGAGTACAATTTTCTCTTCCATAGTATCACCAGACATGATGAAGTTTTGGGTCGGGTGGGAACTGCCAACAAGACACGTCAATGTTGAGGTTGTAACCTCAACTTATCCAGTGGTTTCTCGCCTGCTTCTTCAAGTTGAAGCTCCCCAGCCACTACCAGACAAGATTTTTCACCAGGACTTGATGATGGCCCTCAGTTCCATACGTTCTGCCTTTGTACGCTCAAATGTCATCAACTTCTTGCCCTCTTTTGAAATGGAATCATTTAAAATAGCTTCTATTCCATTTTCAGGCACCACCTTCACCTGTCGAGATAGATATTTTGGAGTTGGTTTGGTAATTGTCTTTGGCCTGGGTTTTTCTTCTGTTTTATATGTCCACTAGTACTGAAGTTATTTTCATATTCTTAGCTGCTAGAGTATGTTTGTGATGTCATCTGCACCGCTGCAGTGCAATGAGCTTGGATCATATAAAGATCATCTCTTTGTGTTCCTACTCAATAAAGAGAGATGTGGCAGCTTTCTTGGCCTCTCTAGTTCATTAAACTCAGAGACTTCCATAGACATTTAGTAGTAATTATTGAACAGTTTATACAGCTAGTACATGTTTAACAAATTCAGATGTTTAGGTAGACACCAGTTTCTCCAATATTACTGTTGCCCTTTTACAGTATTCTGTTCTCTTATCTTGCCTCAAGTAAGTTCTCAACATATTGGACAGTGTTGAAATATGTCCGCCCCAATCCAACCGTCATATTGCTGCAGGCATCTGTGTTGTCTTGCAGTGCCATCATTTCCAGTTCCAATCAGGGATGTTGACCCTGAAATGAGGCTCATTTGTGTCGCCACTCTCCTCCTATTGAAAATCTCGGGTTGGGTATTCCCTGACAAAGACATTTGTGTGTATAAAAATGATGCATATTAAATGTTATTGAACAAATTTACACGTGTGCACTGTGCCCATATCAATACATATTACAAAATAGTTGTAGACAATACCGAAAAACGGATGCTATTTTATGTAAATAAATGAATCATTGATTGTGTTTAAAATGTGAAGGTAATTACATTTTCAAAACCAAGAAAAGACCTGGTCCCTGTTTCAGAAAGTGGGTTTTGTGAAAACTGAGTACAGGTGCTGGTCATATAATTAGAATATCATCAAAAAGTTGATTTAATTCAGTAATTCCATTCAAAAAGTGAAACTTGTATAATGTACACATTCATTCCACACAGACTAATATATTTGAAGTGTTCATTCCTTTTAATGTTGATGATTATGTAACGGGGTAGACCTGTATCAGCCAATTTTGAGTGCAGTGGTAGTGTGAGGGGTGAGCACTTAGAGTGAGTGTGCATTTGGTTGGTGTGGTTTTGCACTGGGGTTGATTGTATGGGTATGGACTAATTGCAGACAGGTGTGCTTGGGCATGACCTCATCTGCAAACTATTTAACCAGCCACACACTAGGCTCAAGAGTCTTCTGTTTGTCTCCTGTGTGCAGGTAGAGTGATTTTGACTGTCTTCTTCCCTGGGGGTAGCTCTTGTTATGTGGTAGTGTCTGTATGGGATGGTTTATAAATTGATGTTGTTGAGTCTTCTGTTTGTCTCCTGTGTGCAGTGTGCGGGTGTGCTGAGGCTGCTGACTCTTTGCAAGAGTGTGGTACACGGCTGGGTCGTGGTCTGGGGAACTGCCAGTGTAGAGCCTCCACTTAGTAGAGTTACCAGAGGCCCAAGCAGTGAGGCTACAACCGACCAGCCTGTGACCAACAGCAGACCCGTTCCTGTTGTGTTTGGCTTCGCCCACACAGGAAGACGAAGTTGAGCACACCCAGCTATGACGAACTGCACTTCCGTTTAACTAACAGTTTCCCCCATTTGAACTCTTTAACTATCTTAGCCTCAGTCTGGTTTTAACCCTTTGCATGTCCATTTTATACAAATAAATTTGGAGGTTATATTTTGTACAGCGTGTTTTATTGTTGTCCACTTAGTTTATACACTGGTTGGTCAATTGGGAACTAGATTGGGGGTGTTACAATTATAACTGACAACTAATGAGAACCCCAAAATCAGTATCTCAGAAAATTTGAATATTGTGAAAAGGTTCAATATTGACGATAGTCTAGTTCTGTAGGCTACACAATCATGGGGAAGACTGCTGACTTGATAGCTGTCTAAAAGACGACCTTTGACACCTTGCACAAGAAGGGCAAGACACAAAAGGTCATTGCTAAAGAGGCTGGCTGTTCACAGAGCTCTGTGTCCAAGCACATAATAGAGAGGTGAAGGGAAGGAAAAGATGTGGTAGAAAAAAGTGTACAAGCAATAGAGATAACCGCACCCTGGAGAGGATTGTGAAACAAAACCCATTCAAAAATGTGGGGGAGATTCACAAAGACTGGACTGCAGCTGGAGTCAGTGCTTCAAGAACCACCACGCACAGACGTATGCAAGACATGGGTTTCAGCTGTCGCATTCCTTGTGTCAAGCCACTCTTGAACAAGATACAGCGTCAGAAGCGCCTCGCCTGGGCTAAAGACAAAAAGGACTGGACTGCAGCTGAGTGGTCCAAAGTTATGTTCACTGATGAAAGTAAATTTTGCATTTCCTTTGGAAATCAAGGTCCCAGAGTCTGGAGGAAGAGAGGACAGGCACAGAATCCACTTTGCTTGAAGTCCAGTGTAAAGTTTCCACAGTCAGTGATGGTTTGGGGTGCCATGTCATCTGCTGGTGTTGGTCCACTGTGTTTTCTGAAGTCCAAGGTCAACACAGCCGTCTACCAGTTAGTTTTAGAGCACTTAATGCTTCCTGCTGCGGACCAACTTTATGGAGATGCAGATTTCATTTTCCAACAGGACTTGGCACAGTGCCAAAGCAAACTCACCTTACCTTAACCCTATAGAAAATCTATGGGGTATTGTGAAGAGGAAGATGCGATACACCAGACCCAACAATGCAGGAGAGCTGAAGGCCACTATCAGAGCAACCTGGGCTCTCATAACACCTGGGCAGTGCCACAGACAGATCGACTCCATGTACACGCTGCATTGCTGCAGTAATTCAGGCAAAAGGGGCCCCAACTAAGTATTGAGTGCTGTACATGCTCATACTTTTCATGTTCATACTTTTCAGTTGGCCAACATTTCTAAAAATTCTTTTTTTGTATTGGTCTTAAGTAATATTAAAATTTTCAGGGAGATACTGAATTTGGGATTTTAATTAGTTGTCAGTTTTAATTATCACAATTAAATGAAAAAAACATTTGAAATATATCAGTTGCTGACATGGTCCTGACGTGGTTGCTGAAGTACTGCGGTAAGCGTGTTGACTCATTTCTGTTTCTTGTGTTTGTGTGTTGGTAGCGTGTTGTGCGGCTCTCTCTAAATACCAGTTAAAATTGTTAGATTACAGCGGCCAACTGTCCGCTAAACACTTATTCTTACAGTAATTTTGCCTAAGCACCCACACTTCTTTCTATTTTTTAGCGACTGCTGTTTGATCTCATAGTTGTTCAAGTTTTGGTAGCTAACTCTACAGTACTTAAGCTTAGCCGTTAGCGATTTTAGCTTAGCAGCTAGTGATGGCTTCTCCTTCTCCCTCTCCTACTTTCTCCTGCTCGGTGTGTCAGATGTTCAGTTACTCCTCTGCCTCCTTTAGCGGTAATGGTAAGTGTAACAAGTGTAGTTTATTTTTAGACATGGAGGCGAGGCTCAGTGATTTAGAAGTCTGGCTCCGCACCTTGGTAGATCAGTCTTTAGCTCCTGTAGCTAGCCAGTCCCTGGTAGTCGGCCTGAGTTAGCCTGTGGTAGCCCCCCCCCTGGATTTCCTGAGCACCAAGGAAGGGGTGGCTGGGTGACTGTCCGAAGGAGGAATAGTCATAAGCATTCAAAGTCCACGGGGCACCATCAACCTGTTCACGTTTCTAACAGATTTTCCCCACTCAGCGACACACCCGCTGAGAACCCAACTCTGATCATTTTGAGAAACGTGAAGTTAGCAAAGCCAGCGGCCATAGTTAAGTGCATCCCTGGGGCCAGAGCGAGCGACATTGAGTCTTATTTGAAACTGCTGGTTAAGGATAAACATAACAGTAAGATTGTTATTCACGTTGGCGGTAATGACTCCCGGTTATGCCAATCGGAGGTCACTAAGATTAATGTTGAGTGGAGGTGTACATATGCAAAAACAATGTCGGACACCGTAGTTTTCTCTGGACCCCTGCCAAATCTGATCAGTGATGACATGTATAGCCGCATGTCGTCATTCCGCCGCTGGTTGTCGAGGTGGTGTCCAGCAAACGATGTGGACTTTATAGATCATTGGCAGACTTTTTGGGGAAGACCTGGTCTGATACGGAGACACGGCTTCCATCCCACTTGGGAAGGAGCAGCTCTCATTTCTAGAAATCTGGCCAAGTTTATTAGTGGACCAAATCCATGACAACCCAGAGTTGAGACCAGGAGGCAGAGTCGCAGTCTAACACTCTTCTCTGCTCCTCCATTTCAGGATTTACTTAGTGAAAACCCTATAGTGACGGTGTCTGTCCCCTGACCATTGAAGTTATTTAAATCAAAGGTAAGAAGAGGAGCTGTGCATAAAAACCTCATAAAAATGAAACCACAAGAGCAATAGTGCAAACGAATAGGAAAATTAAATGTGGACTCATCAGATCTCTCTCTTCTAAAGGTGTACTAGTAAATGAACTAATATCAGATTATGATATTGATTTATTTTGTCTTACTGAAACCTGGCTGGGTGATGGAGAATATGTTAGCCTAAATGAATCCACCCCTCCCAGTCATATTAATACTCACATTCCTTGAGGCACAGGCCGAGGAGGTAGAGTTGCAGCTATCTTCGACTCTAGCCTACTAATCAGCTCTAAACCTAAACTAAATTATAACTCATTTGAAAGCCTTGTTCTTAGTCTTTCACACCCAAGTTGGAAATCACTGCAACCAATTATTTTCGTTATAGTGTACCAAGCACCTGCTCCGTACTCTCAATTCTTATCTGAGTTTTTGTCAACTTTAGTCCTTAAAACGGGCAAAGTTATTATTGTAGGGGATTTTAATATACATGTGGACGTTGAGAATGACAGCTTCAGTACTGCGTTTATCTCTCTGTTAGATTCCATCGGCTTCTCTCAGAGTGTTCATGAACCGACTCACTATTTTAACCACACCCTCGACCTTGTTTTGGTATATGGTATTGAAATTGAACATTTAATAGTGTTCCCACAGAATCCCTCTTTATCTGACCACTGTTTTATAACTTTTGAGTTTGTATTGTTAACTACTCGCCATTGGGCAAAAATTTCTATACAAGATGTCTGTCTGATAGTGCTGTAGCTAAATTTAAGGATGCGATTCCATCAGCTCTAAATTCATTATCCAGTCACAAAGTAACGGAGGACACCTATGCTAATTTCAGGCCCTCCCAAATCGATCATCTTGTTGATAGTGCTGCAGGCTCGCTGCGAATGACACTCGACTCTGTAGCCCCTCTAAAAAAGAAATAATAAAACAAAGACGGTTAGCTCCATGGTATAATACTGAAAC